AGCTTTATTTTGGTGGTATTTAATTGCCACTGGGGGTTTTATTTTTTGCACTGTAAATGAAAAAGTGCAAAAAAAAAATCAGAAAAAAAAAAGAAAACAAAAAAAAAGGTTTTCTTTGTTTCTATTATAACATTTTGCTCACAGGTAATTTCTCTCCTTCACTGATGTGCATTGATGAGGCTGCACTGATGGGCACTGATAGGCAGCACTGATGAGGTGGCACTGGTGGGCAATGATGAGGCGGCACTGATGGGTACTGATTGGCAGCACTGACTGGCGGCACTGACTGATAACACCGACTGGAGGCATTGACAGACGGCACTGACTAGCGGGAACTGCTGGGCACTGATGGGCGGCACTGCTGGGCACTGATGGGCGGCACTGATGGGTGACACTGCTGGGCACTGATGGGTTGCATTGCTGGGAACTGATGGACGGTACTGATAGTCAGGGCACTTATCAGTGCCCTGATTATTAGTGCAGATCTCCTGTGACATTTGCCGATTATTGGCAGTACTTTTCTCACACTGTGAGAGCGTGAGGAAAGTGCAGCCCATAACCGGCAACTGTATTTACATTGTTATCTGCTGTGTCATTGGACACAGTTGATTATGTTGTAAAAGGCCGCTGTGATTGGCCTTTTACCTTATCATGTGATCAGCTGTGTCCGTGGCACACAGCGATCGCTGACAGCGCCGGGTGCGCGCCTTCGGGGGCGCGTTCTGGGAGGATGTCCATGGACACCCTCAAAGAACTAGACAACTGTGCAGTAGCCGTCTTTTGGCTATAGTGCGTTTGGGAAGCAGTTAACAAATATATGTTGTTAAGGGCAGGTAGCCATAACTGCATTACTATAGAGCAGGATGAGTCAAACCCACACTTAAATTAGAACTATAGGCAAACCTTTTTTGCCATTTTGGATAGAGTAAGGGAGGGTTATAATACCTATCACATTTCTTTTCACTATCCTGTCCCATAGCCAAACAGGAAGTCAGAGGAAATCCCTACAAATTCAGGGAATACCTTGGGGCCACCACATCACCAGAAGTAGTATCCCGATTAGAAGATTTCCCCTCTAATACTTTTCTGGGGACAACCCATAATTTGGGGTGTTTCTTTTAGTTTCACTTTGACTGATAATGGCAAACAGGACAAAAATAGAGTTAGTGACAACAATAAAAATGGTCAGGTGGTCTAATCCCTCTTCACACTATCCAAAACTAAAAAAAAAAAAAGTTTTGCCTTTAGTTTTATTTTAATAAATGTCAAACATTTGACTATTTGATAGAAATATCTTCCTCTAATTAGTCTTGGCAAAATGTACTTATCAAAATGTACTTATTCTATATATAGCTTTATATATTTTTAAGCCTTTTATTTTAATTGTAAAACCATTTGTTCATTAAAGATATGTTAAATACAAGATTTATGTTTACACCTAAGTCACAATTTAAGAGATCTACAGTATAAAAATCACAGAAAAGTTCACTAAATATTTTTACACCTGCAACCAGACTTTATAAATCTGATTTTGTCCCTTCTCAGCATGTACGTTGTAAAAATAGTTACGAACAAGCTTTTCTTAAAGTACAATGTGCACCTAAATTGAAAGCTAAATTCATTCTAGAGTACTACTGAAGGCAAACAGAAGTTTAATTGGCTAACTTACTAATATTTAGCAATTATTTACTCATGTTTATGTTTTGCAATCTTTGCGACACAGTTACAAAATAAATAATGACAGTAAGACCACATGAATTATAATCTGATTTTCTGGGAAGGACAATCGCTGAGTTTTCCTTCCAGAGTTTATTGGACAGGAAGGATAACAAACGGTATATTTTCAAAACACAAATACAAAGTTGCTCTTTTCCAGGAAATCCAACCTACAGTGCATAATAAATCATACAATGTTATGCAAATCGATTCTTGTTATCTGTTTTCCTATCCTTGTACCTTATAGTAAATCAACCTTGAAATCAAGATTAAACCAATATCACATGGATTAACTTTTAATTATAACAATATGCGCCAAAACGTTTGCAACATTTTTAGTTCCTTATTTCCTTCTTCGGGCATTGCCTATCCTCTTTGCTTGAGCATTAATGGCTTTGAATATCAGTGCTTAGCTCTAGAGCTCTGTGCCAAGGGACTAGCAACAGCCAGCTGAATTGAAAGCACTATTCGGTGGTGTGAACGTCTGACAGGTAATGCCCACATGCATATGCATCTGCAGAGCCATTGGCACAGAAACACTGCAGCCTCTGCTTTCTCAGGTAGATAACCAGAGACACCAATGATCTGCTAACTGTACTCCCAAATCTAACTTGACTCAAGACTTAGCTTAGGATGATCAGGAGCATCATGATGGAATTTGCTCACTAGCTCAGTGGCTGTAGGCTGACATTTATACCCAAGTATGATGTACAGACATGTTACGTGCAGGGGCGGACTGACAACTCATGGGGCCCCCAGGCAATAGGAGATCATGGGGCCCCTGTGTCCTTGCCCAAATTCAAAAAAGCCTATAAAAAAAAAAAAAAAAAGTACCAGGGGCATCTCATGGGGCCCCCTACTGACCCCGGGCAGTACCCGAGTTTCCAAATGGTCAGTCCGCCCCTGGTTACATGTTTATTATTATGGTAAAAAATTATCCAAACTTGAAGGTAACTTCCACATAGTATCTCTATGGTATAGAAACTATATTAGATCAGAACCACACCTTCGATCAGTTGATTGGAGAACTTATTTTTTCTACTGATAGTAGTGAAACCTGAGCTTTAGATTTTCTCAAAATAGGGATAGGAATTGTGATTTGTCATACTACAGGGACACAGATTTGCGTTTACAAACCACAAGTTGGTGTCTTTAGATTAGTTACAAAACAAATCTCTAGGTGAGAATTAAAAGTGCTAGTATTTCCTAACATTCCCCGCCCCCTCCCCTCAATGCAAAAGTGCACTCATTTAGTATAATTTTGTAACTATAACTTAACATGGAAATATTATAAGTCAGTATGCATTCTTTTTATTGTACAATAAAAGGAGTAATGCTAAATAAATTAAACAACCATAAAATTAGGTGTATCAGCTAGCATACATAAGCACTGTTCAAAGTAAGAAATGTAATTTTTTCCACTATGAAAATTTTAAATCATAAAATTCTTTTTTTGATGCAGGTCAGTTCTTCATCCAGATAATGTAAACTACCAGGTGGTATCTAATATCTTTTTTATCCCAGGAAAGTTTGATAACTCTATTATTAATACACAATAGGCCTTTGAACACTATCCTTAAAGAGTAACTCTGGGTGATCTATATACATTGCAAGGATTTTAACAAACTTTGTTGCAGATTCCTATCTTTTGGTATTTTGAAGAAAGAGCTGTTTGTCTGTGTCAGGGTCCTGTCCACAGCAGGAGTTCTGGCGTTTCTGCCAATACTCTACATGGCCGCAGAAGGACACATCAGCCTCAGTCTGGTGCCAGATGCCTTTATAATAAGGAGACTCATCACTTGCTCTGGTTGCTGGATGATCTCTAGCTCCCAGTGGTTTGTTCCTGTTTCCTGTGACTTCCCGATTCCGACCCGGCTTGTACTTGGACCTGTCTGCTCTACTGAACCCCTGATCTGACCTCGGCTTGGCTAAAGGATACTCTCGCTTCTCCGTGTATGAGCTTGGCTATCCCACCTGACCACATCTGTTCTGTTCCCCACCTGGTACCTGACCTTGGCTCGAACTGACTAACCAGCAAACATCCAAATCCCGGAAAGCTTGCATACCATGCACAGGCGCCTCCTGTCTGCAGACCTATCCCCGTGCACCAGCTGTGCTCCTGAGTGGACCACCAACCAGCACTCCTACAGGTGACCTGTGCAACTTTGGGTCTGACTCCCACTGTCCCACTCTCGGGGGAGTCCGGAACTTAGCAGCATGGGAAGCCCTCTCTCCATTGGCCTCCATCACCAGGTACGTGATAGTCTGTGTCCATGTGGAAAGTGAATCTAATGGAAGTGGATTCATAATTATCAATCAGCTGCTGCATTGACAGGGCTCTAATGAGGAAAATTGCAGGGTCTGCATCCCTTTAGATGTGATTTTCTATTGGGAGCATCTCACCAAAAATGACATTTTTGTTACAGGGAATGCCTGAAATCTGACTTATATCTTAGTACAAAATATTTTCTCTAAAAAGAATCATCCAACCCACCACTAGTGAAAAAATCCCCTATTTAAAGAATATATTAACATGTGCTTTTCAAATGATAAGTGTCCAAACACATATAATCATACACACTGTATCCAAAAGTGTCCAGTGTCTTATAGTCCAAAAACTTTTTTTAAAAACTAAAAAATAAATACGTGCCACTTGAAATCACTTCTTTGTATTGTTGACGATCCTCAAAGGCCAGCTTCCACAGAGACCCTCAAAGAAATCAAAAACTCAACATAGTGCATTACCTTAATAACCTAATATATAACACTCCACACGTGTATTTAAAATATATAAGTGCAAAAAACCGTGAAAAAAGAAAAAACCACTGCAACTTGTGCCAAAACAGTGATGTGTTCCACGCAGTGTATTCACTTCAATGGTGTATCACTTCTAATACTTATAGCATATATACCCTTACCAGAAAAAAATATCAAAACTGCTGTAAGGCCATCTTGGAGTTGTGAATCGCATGGATATCCACCCAGAAGCTGCTTGGTAATCCCCAGACTGTGGGGTCTTTTCCAAATGCGCTAATTTTATTATATAGTCAGGAGTGGAGACAAGGAGGCTGAGTAGTGTTGCGGACTTCTCCATACTGTATCTTACAGTGGTTTTGATATTTTTTTCTGGTAAGGGTATATATGCTATAAGTAGAGATGAGCGAAGTATTCAAAAATTCGATTCGGCTGATTCGGCGAATTCGAGGAATAAATTCGATTCGATGCGAATATATTCGCTGCGAATTTAACTTATAAAAAGGGTGTTTCTAGGCTTCAGAGAGCCTTTATATTAGTGCAGAACACTGTACCTTTAATTTAAATGCCCTTGGAGTCTGCTGGGGAAGAGAAATAATACTGTCAGTCAGTATGACATGCAGATGAGTGCCGTCGATCTTAGAATCACCGCACACTTTACTCATTTGGGCAGTCACGGGGCCAAAACCAGAGTGTGGAGCCACAGTGTGGCGGTGGAGGCAGCAGCAATGGGAGGCCATACAGCACCCTATGACAAAATGGAACCCACCAGCAGTGTGAGGAGACCTGAAAGTGGCACATGGCAGAGTGTGGCGATGGAGACAGCAGCAATGGGAGGCCGTACAGGGACCCATGAGACACTCTGGACCTGGCAGCAGCATGAGGAGGCGGTACGGGGGCCCATGGCAGATTACGGGCCTGGCAGCAGCAATGGGAGGCCCGTAATCTGCCAGCACCCTATGACAAAATGGAACCCACCAGCAGTGTGAGGAGACCTGAAAGCGGCACATGGCAGAGTGTGGCGATGGAGACAGCAGCAATGGGAGGCCGTACAGGGACCCATGAGACCCTCTGGACCTGGCAGCAGCATGAGGAGGCGGTACGGGGGCCCATGGCAGATTACGGGCCTGGCAGCAGCAATGGGAGGCCCGTAATATGCCAGCACCCTATGACAAAATGGAACCCACCAACAGTGTAAGGAGACCTGAAAGTGGCACATGGCAGAGTCTGGCGATGAAGTCAGCAGCAATGGGAGGCCGTACAGGGACCCATGACACACTCTGGACCTGGCAGCAGCAAGAGGAGGCGGTACAGGGGCCCATGGCAGAGTGGCGAAGCGTAAGCAGCTTAAATTGAAGGCCATACAGAGGCCTATGTTAAAAATAATAACATGTTTTGGGCATGATTCATGGCGGATTTAGTCAGTTGTGTCAGGAACTGGTGGTTTGAAATCCAGACTAATCCACGCCTGATTCATTTTCACAAACGTGAGTCTCTCCACACTTTGGGTGGACAGTCGTGTCCTCCGCGGAGTTACAATACCTCCTGCCGCACTAAACACGCGCTCCGATGCCACGCTACTGGCCGGGCATGACAGCCTTTCAAGGGCAAATTCAGCTAGTTGGGGCCAAAGGTCAAGTTTCGTTGCCCAGTAGTCAAGGGGATTGTCTACCTCGGTTGGCCGGTGCTGTCCAAGTAGGCCCGAGCCTGTTGTTTGAGGTCCTGCTCCAGGTCCACCTGATGCTGCTGCTGCTGCAGCTGGTTAGTAGTTTCCTCACTGCGCTGGTGAAGAAAGCTACTCATCATCGACTGCAGACTGAGGCAGCCGCTGCTGGTGGAGCTGCCACTGCTCCTACCACCCCACCCCTCCCCTGCTGCCATGGCAGCGGAACGCGAGCGCACAGGGCCCACAGTGTCTGAGGATGGACGTTGGCGCAGAAAGGCAGAGACCAACTGACTACATACTGTAGGTGGTTTTTATAGTACGTTATTTTGGCCTCCCTCTCAGCAGGTGTGAAAAAGGCCACCATTTTTGAATGGTAGCGAGGGTCCAACAAGGTGGACAGCCAAAAGTCATCCCTCTGTCTAATGGTTATTATTCGGCTGTCGCTACGCAAGCAACCGAGCATGCTATGGGCCATTTGTGCCAAGGAATGCGAGGGACTCCCTGCCTCCATCTCCACAGCATACTGCAACGGTGCGTCTGGGTCCTCTGTCTCCTCCTCCTCCTCCTCTACCAGATGCTCCTGCTCCTCCACTCCTGTCCGCTGAGTGGAAAAACCACCCATTTCACTCAATAATTCCTGAGCACCAATGTCCTCCTCTACCTCCTCCTCTTCTTCCTGTCCTGCCCCCACAGGGGTCATGTGGCGTTGAGATCTGTGCGCCACGTCTACCGCACCCTGACCAGCCATTGTTAACAGCATTTGTTCCAGGACGTGCAACAGAGGAATGACGTCGTTCATCCCATAGTCCTGCCGACTCACGAATAGCGTGGCCTCCTCAAAGGGCCTGAGCAAGCGGCAGGTGTCACGCATGAGCTGCCAATGGCTGACATCTAAGTTACACAGGGGAGTACCTTTATCCGCTTGTAACATCAGGAAATCGGTGATGGCCTTTCGCTGTTCATAAAGGCGGTCTAACATATGTAGGGTGAATTCCACCTTGTTGCAACGTCACAGCATGAGGAGACGGTACGGGGGCCCATGGCAGATTACGGGCCTGGCAGCAGCAATGGGAGGCCCGTAATCTGCCAGCACCCTATGACAAAATGGAACACACCAGCAGTGTGAGGAGACCTGAAAGTGGCACATGGCAGAGTGTGGCGATGGAGACAGCAGCAATGGGAGGCCGTACAGGGACCCATGACAGATTACGGGCCTGGCAGCAGCATGAGGAGGCGGTACAGGGGCCCATGACAGATTACGGGCCTGGCAGCAGCAATGGGAGGCCCGTAATCTGCCAGCACCCTATGACAAAATGGAACACACCAGCAGTGTGTGGAGACCTGAAAGTGGCACATGGCAGAGTGTGGCGATGGAGACAGCAGCAATGGGAGGCCGTACAGAGACCCATGAGACCCTCTGGACCTGGCAGCAGCATGAGGAGGCGGTACGGGGGCCCATGACAGATTACGGGTCTGGCAGCAGCAATGGGAGGCCCGTAATCTGCCAGCACCCTATGACAAAATGGAACACACCAGCAGTGTGAGGAGACCTGAAAGTGGCACATGGCAGAGTGTGGCGATGGAGACAGCAGCAATGGGAGGCCGTACAGGGACCCATGAGAGACTCTGGACCTGGCAGCAGCATGAGGAGGCGGTACAGGGGCCCATGGCAGATTACGGGCCTGGCAGCAGCAATGGGAGGCCCGTAATCTGCCAGCACCCTATGACAAAATGGAACACACCAGCAGTGTGAGGAGACCTGAAAGTGGCACATGGCAGAGTGTGGCGATGGAGACAGCAGCAATGGGAGGCCGTACAGGGACCCATGAGAGACTCTGGACCTGGCAGCAGCATGAGGAGGCGGTACAGGGGCCCATGGCACATTACGGGCCTGGCAGCAGCAATGGGAGGCCCGTAATCTGCCAGCACCCTATGACAAAATGGAACACACCAGCAGTGTGAGGAGACTTGAAAGTGGCACATGGCAGAGTGTGGCGATGGAGACAGCAGCAATGGGAGGCCGTACAGGGACCCATGAGACACTCTGGACCTGGCAGCAGCATGAGGAGGTGGTACGGGGGCCCATGGCAGATTACGGGCCTGGCAGCAGCAATGGAGGCCCGTAATCTGCCAGCACCCTATGACAAAATGGAACACACCAGCAGTGTGAGGAGACCTGAAAGTGGCACATGGCAGAGTGTGGCGATGGAGACAGCAGCAATGGGAGGCCGTACAGGGACCCATGAGAGACTCTGGACCTGGCAGCAGCATGAGGAGGTGGTACGGGGGCCCATGGCAGATTACGGGTCTGGCAGCAGCAATGGGAGGCCCGTAATCTGCCAGCACCCTATGACAAAATGGAACACACCAGCAGTGTGAGGAGACCTGAAAGTGGCACATGGCAGAGTGTGGCGATGGAGACAGCAGCAATGGGAGGCCGTACAGGGACCCATGAGAGACTTGGACCTGGCAGCAGCATGAGGAGGCGGTACAGGGGCCCATGACAGATTACGGGTCTGGCAGCAGCAATGGGAGGCCCGTAATCTGCCAGCACCCTATGACAAAATGGAACACACCAGCAGTGTGAGGAGACTTGAAAGTGGCACATGGCAGAGTGTGGCGATGGAGACAGCAGCAATGGGAGGCCGTACAGGGACCCATGAGAGACTCTGGACCTGGCAGCAGCATGAGGAGGCGGTACAGGGGCCCATGACAGATTACGGGCCTGGCAGCAGCAATGGGAGGCCCGTAATCTGCCAAACTAGACAAAATGGAACACACCAGCAGTGTGAGGAGACCTGAAAACATGGAACAGAGTGTGGCACAGCAGCAATGTGTGAGGAGACACTCTGAAAGTGGAGGCGCTACACATGGCAGAGTGTGGCGATGGAGACATGCAGCAATGGGAGGAGACCGAAAGTGGCACAGGTGGCGATGGAGACCAGCATGAGAGACCCATGAGAGACTCTGGACCTGGCAGCAGCATGAGGAGGCGGTACGGGGGCCCATGGCAGATTACGGGCCTGGCAGCAGAAATGGGAGGCCCGTAATCTGCCAGCACCCTATGACAAAATGGAACACACCAGCAGTGTGAGGAGACCTGAAAGTGGCACATGGCAGAGTGTGGCGATGGAGACAGCAGCAATGGGAGGCCGTACAGGGACCCATGAGAGACTCTGGACCTGGCAGCAGCATGAGGAGGCGGTACGGGGGCCCATGGCACATTACGGGCCTGGCAGCAGCAATGGGAGGCCCGTAATCTGCCAGCACCCTATGACAAAATGGAACACACCAGCAGTGTGAGGAGACTTGAAAGTGGCACATGGCAGAGTTAACATGTTTGGGGCATGATTCATGGCGGATTTAGTCAGTTGTGTCAGGAACTGGTGGTTTGAAATCCAGACTAATCCACGCCTGAGTCATTTTCACAAACGTGAGTGTCTCCACACTTTGGGTGGACAGTCGTGTCCTCCGCGGAGTTATAATACCTCCTGCCGCACTAAACACGCGCTCCGATGCCACGCTACTGGCCGGGCATGACAGCCTTTCAAGGGCAAATTCAGCTAGTTGGGGCCAAAGGTCAAGTTTCGTTGCCCAGTAGTCAAGGGGATTGTCTACCTCGGTTGGCAGGGTGCTGTCCAAGTAGGCCCAAGCCTGTTTGAGGTCCTGCTCCAGGTCCACCTGATGCTGCTGCTGCTGCTGCGGCTGGTTAGTAGTTTCCTCACTGTGCTGGTGAAGAAAGCTACTCATCATCGACTGCAGACTGAGGCAGCCGCTGCTGGTGGAGCTGCCACTGCTCCTACCACCCCACCCCTCCCCTGCTGCCATGGCAGCGGAACGCGAGCGCACAGGGCCCACAGTGTCTGAGGATGGACGTTGGCGCAGAAAGGCAGAGACCAACTGACTACATAGGTGGTTTTTATAGTACGTTATTTTGGCCTCCCTCTCAGCAGGTGTGAAAAAGGCCACCATTTTTGAACGGTAGCGAGGGTCCAACAAGGTGGACAGCCAAAAGTCATCCCTCTGTCTGATGGTTATTATTCGGCTGTCGCTACGCAAGCAACCGAGCATGCTATGGGCCATTTGTGCCAAGGAATGCGAGGGACTCCCTGCCTCCATCTCCACAGCATACTGCCACGGTGCGTCTGGGTCCTCTGTCTCCTCCTCCTCCTCCTCTACCAGATGCTCCTGCTCCTCCACTCCTATCCGCTGAGTGGAAAAACCACCCATTTCACTCAATAATTCCTGAGCACCAATGTCCTCCTCTACCTCCTCCTCTTCTTCCTGTCCTGCCCCCACAGGGGTCATGTGGCGTTGAGATCTGTGCGCCACGTCTACCGCAGCCTGACCAGCCATTGTTAACAGCATTTGTTCCAGGACGTGCAACAGAGGAATGACGTTGTTCATCCCATAGTCCTGCCGACTCACGAATAGCGTGGCCTCCTCAAAGGGCCTGAGCAAGCGGCAGGTGTCACGCATGAGCTGCCAATGGCTGACATCTAAGTTACACAGGGGAGTACCTTTATCCGCTTGTAACATCAGGAAATCGGTGATGGCCTTTCGCTGTTCATAAAGGCGGTCTAACATATGTAGTGTTGAATTCCACCTTGTTGCAACGTCGCAGATCAGGCGATGCTGTGGAATTCCGTTCTGCCGCTGCAGCTCAAGGAGGGTGTGCTTTGCGGTGTAGGAATGGCTGAAATGCATGCAAAGTTTACGTGACATTTTAAGGATGTCTTGCAGTGGGATGGTGGATTTTAGGAACCGCTTGACAACCAGATTGAACACGTGAGCCATGCATGGCACAACCTTCCTTGACGCAGAGCAGACACCATGTTCTTTCCGTTGTCGGTCAACATGGTTCCGATTTTCAGTTTGCGCGGAGACAGCCACCTGTCGATTTCTCTGTTCATTACACTCAGAAGTTCTTCCCCTGTGTGACTACGTTCGCCAAGGCATACCAGGTGCAGCACAGCGTGACACCGTTGCGCCCTGCACATGTGATATGCCGGTCGGGTAATGGGACTTGGCACGGGGGTGGCGGCTGAGGACACGGCGGAAGAAGAGGTGGTAGAGGCGGACATCTTTGCTGGACCAAGGACGTGCAAACGTGGAGGCAAAAGCGGCGTGACCTGTCCAAGTTGCTGGTGCGGCTGTGCCGGCACCACGTTCACCCAGTGGGCCGTAAATGACATGTACTGTCCCTGACCGTAGTTACAGCTCCACACGTCGGCGCTGCCGTGCACTTTGGCAGAGACCGACATGCTCAAAGACTGGCCCACCATCTCTTCTACATGTGAATGCAGGGCTGGCACTGCCTTTTTGGCGAAGAAATGCCGGCTAGGCACTCTCCACCGCGGCGCGGCACAAGCCATCATTTCTCGGAAAGGTGCTGAGTCCAGCACTTGGAAAGGGAGGGACTGCAGCACCAGCAACTTGGACAGGAGGACGTTCAGCTTTTGCACCATCGGGTGCGTGCTCGCAAACTGTTGTCTCTTGGAAACGGATTCCAAGAAAGACTGCTGACGGAATACGTGAAGAGGAGTAGCAGGAGAAGGAGCATCTGAACGAGCGGAAGATGTCAACGAGCGACAACTCCCCTCAGCAGAGGTGTTGGAGCCTTGACTGGCTGATAGAGGGCGATTGACGTCGGGTGACGGAGCAAGTAACGGAGCGGGTGAGGAGCGGGGGCTGGGGCAGGCAGAACCGCCGTATCTTTATCACGGTTTTCCCAGGCCACCGAATGGCGATGCTGCATATGCTGACGCAACGCTGTAGTCCCAACATGGGCCCCCTGGCTTTTTGGTTGGGTGAGGAACTTACAAAAGCTTGCTCTCCAGCCTTCTCTTTGCCTGGAGTATTTGAGTCTGAACCTGGGATCATCCCAAGCAAATTTTTCCTTCCAGAGAAGAACTGTTTTCTCTTATAGCTAAGACTCTGGAATGTCAAAGAGACATCCCTCAGCGAGAATCTCAATAGGGGCTCTAGGCCTCACCAATTTGCATTCAAAATCCCTCTAGCTCAACATCTGTTTGACCTGGAAGAAGCATGTTCTTTTTCTAAACATACCCATGTTCCTGTCCAGCCAGTCACAGAATTCCCTAGCATGTTGAATGATCTCCAGCCCCACCTTAACAATAAGGAACTGGTTCCTTTATCACTGCAGAGTGTGCCAGTTTTTCAGGCTGTGGAGAACTGTTCCAGTCCCTCAAGGTCCAGAGAATATGCCCATTAGTGATAGCCAGGCCCTCATCAACATCCTGGAGCTCAGAGCAAAAGGATGGCTCTGCAACATCAGACCCCCTCTTCTGCAGGGACACTCAATCAAGGTTCAGTCAAACAGTGTCACATCTGTGACATACATAAACCTCCAAGGGGGCACCAGGAGTCATGCACCATTGAAGGAAGCAAACCAGATCATCTCATAAACATAGAAACTACTGTCCAGCTATCTATGCTGTCCACATACCAGGACAACTGGATGGCAGATTATGTCAGCCAACACTGCTTGAACCAAAGGGAATGAGCTCTTCACTCCGACATCTTCAAGATGTCAGAGATGGGGGACCCTGATTGTGGATATCCTGGCCTCCAGATACAACAACAAGCTATCTCTGGGTATGGCCAGGACAAAGGATCCTCGATCTGGTCTTAGATCAAGCTAATCTATGCCTCCCTCTAGTGTGAATTCTACTTTGTCTTCTCCACAAATTAGAGCAAGAGAAGAAGCGCGATTCTCATTGCACCAAACTACTAAACTGGCCCAGAAAAAAAAAACCAAAAAACAACCAAAAAAAAAAAAAAAAAAAAAAAAAAAAAAAAAAAAAACTTACTACACAGACATACCCAGAATACTAGGAGACAACTCCTAGCCTCTCTCCATCAGGCCAGAGCATCTGTCTCAGAACCATCTAATCCATCCTGCTTCTCAGACACTAGTTTAATGGCATGGTTGTTATAGTCCAGGTCTTAAGAGGCAGAGGGGTATCTGGATCTGTCATTCCTATCTTGCTGAAAGCAAGAAAAGCCACTTCTAGAAAGATCTATTATTGTACATATATATCAGAACTTGACCAGAATTTTACCTTAAGCACTCAAAAGAGATCGATTTCAATCTTGTCCATTTAAAAAAAACAAACAAACAAAAAAAAAAACCCTCTAGCCTGTCTTTTATAAAGTCCTTTTTTAAAGGTGTATCTTGGATCAGGCCCCCTTACAGCATCCTGTGCTTCCTTGGGACCTCTGCTTGTTTCCCTCTAACTTGCAGCCACCATTCTTTGAACCATTCATGGAAATGAACTTAGATGACTGCTACTGCAAAGTGGCCTTTTTGTTTTCTCTCATGTCTCCCAGATGTGTCTCTGAGCTAGCAGCAGAAGCTGTTCATTATTCACAAAGACAAGACAAGTCATCAATTCTTATGCCCAGGATCAACTTTTCTTCCTAATATGGTATCAGTCTTCCACCTCAATGAAGACATAATCCTACCATCTTTGTGCCCTGCTCCAAAGGAAATTTATCTTCATTGTCTGGAAGAAGTCAGAGCCTTCAGAGTCTACCTCAAATCAACATCTTCTGTCAGGAAAATGGACACCTTATTTGTCCTATCCTCAGGACCTCTCAAGGGACATCCTGCTTCTAAGTCCACCATCACCTGATGAGTAATACAAACACATCTCTAGAGCTTCCATTCTAAAGTACATAACTCCTCCGGCACTTTTATGCGCCCACTCCTCAGTAGCCCAGTCTTGTAAGGCTGCCACCGGGTCCTCTATTCATGCATTTTCAAAGTTTTACCAGATGGACATCCAATCTTCTGTGAATGCAACGTTCAGCAACAAGATTCTTGCAGCAGTAAGTTGGGGTCTGTTTGTTTAATCTTGTTGTTGTTGAACCTGTTTGCACAATACTGTTTGCCTAGTTGGAGTTCACTTTTCCAGGTCACAGGACATTCCAGCATCTATGAATACTCAAGTGTCCTGTACTCCAAGATACGCTTTTCTACATGTACTAAACAGATACTAGGCTGCATAGTTTTTTTTTTTTTTCACAGGGCAAATTTCCTTGTTGTTGACTGCAATTGCATTTTTTATAGGCCTATATTAAATAGTGACAGCAATGTTATGTAAATTGCATCAGCAAAGACATTTATTTTTTTCTTTGGAAGAGCATGTAGCAGGTTGATTTACAGGCAGGA